AAGTGAGGAACGGGGGGGGGGGGGGGACTCCGCATATGAAAGGAGTGGGGATGCTCGCGGGAAATTTTGAATCAAACCCCTAAACGAGACCAATCTGGGCGTGGCCTAACCTTTTTTGACCCCTAAAAGCGATTATGTTAAACTTTGATTACATGAATCGAGTACATAAAACGAATTGAAAATATATAATTTTTTAATATTTCTTCGAGTGCAACCCTAAAAGAGACCTTTACGGCTAAATATAATAGTGTTTTGCCAAGAAGACCCTAAGCGAGACCAAAATCCGAAATTTACACCCCTAAGCGAGACGACGGGCATCCCCACCCCTTTCACCCTTTCATATACGGAGTCCCCCCCCCGGGTCAGAAACTAAACTGCGATGAACACACAGCCACGATGGAACCTTTGAGGGGTCCTACACAAAATCGCACATCATTCTTTAGAATTATTACATCTCGTCTGTTTTGATTACCCAACCTATTGGACGCAAAAGGCCCATGGTAAACTGTAACCAATTGGATCTCCAAGACCAGTATTTGGATACTTGAAACCCGAGGCGGGGATGCTCGGCCATATTAAAGTGACGGGGATGCTCCTCAGAGAATTCAAATTACCGGTAAACCTTTTATATATGTGGGTGTGGCTCAAGCTTCAACTGACCCCCAAGAGAAATTTCTGTGTGGTCAGGGTCTATGCATTTTTTTTTTTAATTTCTTAATGCACAGTACTAAGCGATACCTGAATGGCCATTCCAGATATAGTAACTTTACATCCCAAACAGAAAAGTGAGACCAACATCTGCAATTTACACCCGAAAGCGAGACGGCGAGCATCCCCTTCACTTTTATATGGGAGTCCCTTCCCCGGGGCCCTCAAAGAAGACTTGATGTAGAAGAGTTAAGGAGAGAAATTATCATTGCTCAAGGATACGATAGGGAAAATAGAATCAAAGAAAGACTATCATCAACTCGTGGGTACGTTGTTTAGAAAATAATCAATTAGTTATCACCTCTGGTTTTCCCACAGTAAATTTTAGGAAATGATAGAAATTCAGATTATATACTATCCCTGTTCTGGAAATACAATACTTTTCTTGCTGTTTATTGCACTTTATTAACAGTTATTTAGGTATATATTTAAAAAAAAAAAAACAGCAAAACAAATAAGCAAACAAAACAAAACAAAAAAGACAAAAAAAAAAGGAAGAAGGGAAAAAGAAGGTCCTTAGCAGAATTTGAACCCGGTACCTCCGAGTTGACCCGACCTCACATAGCCACTACGCCATTGAGGATGATCACATGATTCCGTGAAAAGTCTCAAATTTAATGCGTTTTCCATGGAACTTCCGCCGGCAAATGATCGAGTTTGAAATCAAAGAAAGACTATCGTCAACTCGTGGGTACGTTGTTTAGAAAATAATCAATTAGTTATATATATCACCTCTGGTTTTCCCAAAGTGAATTTTAGGAAATGATAGAAATTCATATTATAAATATACTATCCTTGTTCTGGAAACACAATACTTTTCTTGCTGTTTATTGCACTTTAGTAACAGTTATTTAAGTATATATTTAAAAACAAAACAAAAAAAACAGCAAAACAAATAAGCAAACAAGACAAAACAACAAAGAAAAAAAAAAGGAAGAAGGGAAAAAGAAGGTCCTTAGCAGAATTTGAACCCGGTACCTTCGGTCTGACCCGACCTCACATAGCCACTACGCCATTGAGGATGGTCACATGATTTGGCGAAAAGTCTCAAATTTAATGCCTTTTCCATGGAACGTCCGCCGGCAAACGACCGGGGCAAACGATCGAGCCATAAAAACGACTCGAAGCAATGGGATGAAATTAAGGTTAATTGAAACCAGGCTACTGACAGTAAAAAACAATGTAAACGCATTTCATGGCAATGAAAGAACATATGCGATACAAAGCCGACACAACTCCTCCGCGAAGTAGGACGCAAAACATAAGCTTATGTTTTCTTATCTCGATTTCCGCTGTTATTTTAAATAGGTAATGCTCAAACTCACATCCATCTCCCCCCCGTGATCTTGGGGAGTCCTTAAGAAGAAGAAGAAGAAGAAGTGCCTTTATTTACCATACATTTCACCAGTCCGTATTTTATACCCAGTCCGCAGTCCGTAGTCCGCAGTCCGTGTTTTATACTGACCGCCATAAATTCATTCATACACATAACCTACTACAGTACTACAAGGTAGGAGATCAAGCCAGCGTCGAAGTTGAAGGAGTCGAAGAGCAAATGCTCATCTTCTTGTCAAGTTTAACGCCTGGACGGGTCAAAGGCTTTTGAACCGTACTAATTTGAAAGATTCCTGCCTGTCTTAAATTTGGCAAGACCCCTATCCTAACCGTGCTGTAGCGCACGATGCACGATCTCAGCGAGGAATTTGATGCTACCGAACTTCGGCGAGCGCGTGCTTCTTTGGAAACGATAGATCTTCGCGCTCTCGAGTTCGGACCCGATTAATTACGAAGTGCGTCTACTACGAGTGAG